GAACAAAACGTTGGGGGTTTAAGGGTCGGGATTGCCTAATCCTGGTCTTTGTCTTCGGGAGCAGGTCCTTCATCCTCGAAGGCATCATCATCGTCCTCGGCTGCACCTTCCACATTCTCCTCGAAATCCGAAAGCTTGAGACTCTCAGCAACTTGAGGGATCGTCTTGAGCTCCTCAGGATCAACCTCCGGCATCTTAGCCCTCAGAAAAGCTCGAGCTTCCTTCAAAGCATGAAGGTACGAGCCTAAAGCGTACTCGCCCTTCAACCTATCCATTTCCTCGGACTTTTTAAAGTCCTCGGTAGCGGATACTCGGGCCCCCTCAATCTTGGATTCCATGTCCCTCTTCAACTACTCAAGCTCCAGCTTCAGCTCTTCGGCCTCATCCTTAGCAATACCAATCTCATCTCGAGCCTTTCTCTGCTCGAGCCTAGCATCATCCCTCTCCTTTAGAACTTGAGCTCGGGCAGCCTCATCAGATAGCTTTTTATCTCGAAGCTCAACAGCCTCGACCAGTCTAGCCATCTTGTGGGATTCATCCATCCCTTGCAGTGACAGCCCTCGAGCAACGCTGAGTGTCTACATCATAACATACAGAGCATAAGGACATGAAAAATACATGGAAAATTCACATAAGGAAATAAAGTCTTACCTTCAAAGTAAGGAGCTCAAGAGCTTTCATTCCCTCGTTGAACCCAACATCACCTCGATATTTCACCACGATGCTCGGGACAAGATGGCATCGCTCAAAATCCTCGATGATCGAGGCCACCAGAGGAATGGAGTCATCCTCAAGATCAACAATCTCAAGAGTAACCCGAGGAAGAAGTGGCCTCGGTGGCCTAGGTAACGGTCAGGGTGAGTCCCTCTGTCGTTGTTGTGAAATGGGGCTTGGAGGTCGAGGCCTTGATGCCGACGATTCACCAAGACCCTGAGGAGGCACTTCTGTTGTATATACTCGGGGCCTTTTCTTCCACTTTTTCTTACCAGGAGCCCTGACCTGAGGCTCCTTGGATTTGGAATTCATAGCTCGACGAAGAGCTGATGGATCAAAGGACACATCTGTACAAAATTCAAGTATTAAGCATGAACACATGATCGAGCAATAAAAAACAAATGGATTGAAGAATAAACATCCTACCCTCAAGGCCTTTCGCCCAGGCAAGGTCGAGGATGTCATCCCCGAGAATATCATCTAAATCATACACCAAGGGCTCGAGATCTTCTAACATCTACCGATCCTTCTCTAGGTCTCAAAGTAGGCCTGTCCCTCACAAAATTTTGTTGTGTCCGAGATATCCCACAAAGGCCAGAAAGGGAGATCGGGATCTCGAGCTATAACATAGAACCATTTATCCTTCCACCCATGTAATGAACTAGGCATCCTCGGGATCCTAAATGCACCTCGAGACGAAAGGTAAGCAAAGCATGTAAACCTAGGGATCTGTTTTAACTCGAAGACCATCCTACATAGGTCGAGGTAAGGGGTGATGCCTAGATACCGACAGGCGATGAAAAAATAAACGAGCATTCTCCACCGTTGGGCACTAACTGTCCTGGGCACATAGAATGCTCGACTAGGAAGCTTACAAAAAACAGGTGCATGGGTCACCTGAACCCGGCCTTCAAAGAATCCCTAAAAATCACGAACTCTCCATCCCGAGCCTTATTCATCCTATCCTTGGGGTCGAGGGACCTACAGTCATTGTAGGGCATGACCCCAAACTCCCTCGCTGCCTGCAATGCTAAATGTTCTTTAAACCTACACTGAACGTCGGGATACGTAAGCTCGAGAGCCTCTATCGTCCTAGGATGAACATCTAAAGGAATTGCGATAGGTGTTATCTGCGTCCTATCATCCCTAGTATCCCTGAACTCTCAAATCCCCGATCACTCTCAGTACTCGACATCTCATTTTAATTAAAAACTAAAGAAATAACTTAAAAGTCCAGAGCCTTACCTCAGTTACCCGACGCCCAAACTACAAAAAGCAAAGTTTTTAGCTCGACCCCGATCTCGCTCTGAAGGATTTCACAGACAGTAAAAAATGAATAGGATCAAGGGGTATTTATAGAACCTGGAGGGAAGACCAAGGGTCACATCAATCCCAGCCATTGACCCTGGCCACATGTCACCCATCCAAATAATTTTTTTTTACTGAGATAGCCCATACTCGTGCATTTCAACTTGACGTCTCTTCTCCGTGTATTGACCTCGACGATAGGTCTCATTACGTCCTTGATCTCTCTGCATCTCGCACCCTGAGAATTTGTTTTGAGCTCGATCCCAAGGGAGGATGCACGGGGGTCTGTGATACACCTTATTATTCGTCCATACCCGAGCATTATCCTAGATGACTGGAAATAACTCCCTCACCATATTGCAGCTTGATGTCCTCGAGCATTTTCCTCGATGACACATGGTCGAGGATTCGCAATCGTGTGACGACGCTTCTGTACGCCTGAGGTCCTCAGGATATTATGTCCTCGAGAATTCCTCTCCTTGAGCGGCTTGGGTTATGTTGATCCAATAGGATTCCTATCTACTTGGAACTCTAACTCTGGACTACTATTTCAATACTTGACCCTAATAAGGACTCTGTCTTAAGCAGAATTTTGGTATTTGTCTGATTCCTTAATCGTACATGACTCCAACGGATAAGGATACCCAGCTAGTTGAGTCCTACTAGGAGAATACCACCCACCTCTATAAATACAATAGATGGGGGCATTGTTCAGGTACATTTTCATTATTTTAGTTTATAGCCTTACGCACATAATTTCCTTTCTGACTTAAGTATTGGAGGGGCGAAGAGAACATACCTTGTTGCCTTTGTTTCAGGTACCGAAAGACTACGATCGTGCTCATTCAATATCCTCAAGCTCAGGAAATCACCAGGTACGATTTTTGGTAGCATCAGTAGCTATCTAGATTTTGGGGATAACATGCTAGAGATGTATCTATCCAAAAATTTGAACCTTCTTTCAGGCTCTAAGATTGAACTGCGAACATAGAACAAAAAACATCATGTACACAATTATTTTTTGCTCTCTTGAAGGATTATTGCTAGGAATTTGATGTAGGTGGAGGAGCTCGAATTGTTTCAATTATTTATTAGAGCCCTATAACGACTATAACTAGGCATGACCAAGATAATAGGAAAATTTTGCTTATACAACACTTAGGTCTGTACAAGCTTACAGCCCCCCACTTCATGAGGGACCCCCCCATTGTACCTCTTGCTATACGCAAGAGTGTCTTGTGTACAATAAGCACAACCCAAGATCATATACTTAACATCATATTGGTCTTCAGAGAATAAGATAATATAAAATGGGAAAATTAGGCCAAATACCCCCTAAAAATGAGAATTTTGAAAAATACTCTTAAAACTAATTGAAACATTTAATCACGTATTAAATACGCTCAAAACCCCACCCGGCCCCAAATCAAAACCCTCAATTCCAAAAACTCCCATAGTCAGTGGAAATGTTGGCGATGAAAACATTGGTGGTGGAGGTACAGCCAATGGTAGTGTCGGCAGTGGAGATGACAATGTTGGTGGTTGGGATGGACTTGCTACTGGATTTGGCGGAGGTCGTGTCGTGGGACTTGAGATGCCCGATTGGTTAAGTTGTAATCTATTGAAGATGGGGAAGTTAATGAGTGAGTTGACACAGAGCGGGATAGCAAGTCCGATTGTAGGTCTTGGATATGGCTTGGCTCGGGTGCATTGACCTAGAATTTGCTCTGGCTGGAGCCCCATTACAAGTGCATCAGAAACTGCAAAGGCGACTTTGAGAGTGGCCGCAATGATTAACTGGAATTTGAGCCTGGATTTTTTGGGATTTGAAGTGGGTTCATTTTCCAGTTGGGTTCTTCTTGATGAAGCTTCAGGATCAATTGATTTGGGCCTGCCATAATTTGAGCTTGAATTTTTTGGGATTAGAAATGGGTTCATTTTCCAGCTGGGTTCTTCTTGATGACGCTTCAGGCTCAATTGATTTGGGCCAGCCATTGCCCATTCTATTAAGCTTGAGAGAAAGAGAGAGGAATTGCATTGTGTTACGCTATGGTGGTGCTTGTGGTGGTTGGACTTGAGGTGGCTGACTGGTTGAGTTGAAAGTTGGTGAAGTTGTAGGTAGAGATGATGTTGTATGGGTGGTTGACAGAGTGTTTTGTCACTTTTTTTTTTTTTTTTTTTTTTTTTTCACTTTTTTTTTTTTTTTTGAATTTTTTTCCCTTTTTTTTAATTTTCATTTTTCAGGCTTTTTTTTCACTTTTTTTAAATTGTCACTTTCAAGTGTTTCACTTTTTATTCCGCCACATTTTTTAATACGTGTATTTTTTTTTTTTTATATGTGTCAATTGTTTGAATTCGTCAATCACTTTTTTTTAGTATTTTGTCAATTTTTTTAGTGTTTATCACTTTCTTAATTTCTATCATTTTTTTTAGTGACAAACATAATAAATGTGACATTATATGTCATTTTTAATTAAAAGTGACATAAAATTTTTAAAAGTGACGTTGTGTCACTTTTTTTAATTAAAATGTGACAATTTTTTATCATAAAAAAGTGATATTGTGCCACTTTTTTTAATTAAAAAGTGACAATTTATTATAAAAAAGTGACATTGTGTCACTTTTTAATATTACACAATATTTTTTACTTCCAAATATTTTTTCGTATGATTTTTCAAAAGATCTATAATTTTAAGAGTATTTTTGTAAGTTGCCCATATAAAATCACAATGGACTTGGAAGTGTTAAGCCAGCCGTCCAGGTTTGGGCGGCCTTACAGCTCAGCTGGGCTCGGCATGGCAGGGTCCAAGCCTATATTTTCTTTAAAATACTATTGGCTTGGCCTTGCTATGTCCACGACGTGGCTATGCGCTGTGCCAGGAGTAATTTAGGCATTCCAGGCCGGCAGGCAACAAAAGCGGCGCTAGCAAGGCCCTGTTTACACCGCCAAGTGCACATAATTTAGCTTGCATAAGAGGAGAAATAAAACTTAGAAAAGTAAGAAATGGCTGTTTGAGAAAAATGCCAAGAATTATACACCTAAAGCTGAACTCCATACAAGTTTCAGTTTTGTAGGTACAAAGTCTCAGCCAACTTGTGTACATCCTCTGTATTGAGTAAGATTGACTCGATGAAAAGAATGCTGTAACTTATATTTTCCACAAATCATTCAGGTAACTAAATGCTACAAAGAATCAGGTCCCCGGCCACATTCCATACGCACCCAATGCAATTCTTAGTTCCTGCCCAAACAGAATTCAGGAGTGATGAAAAAACAGCTAGCTTTTATTCTCACGCCAATGAGCACACCTTATCTGAAATACAATAAATCAAACTATGTTAATATCATGTAAAATTGGGCTATACTGTACAAACTGTACAAAATGTGGATCATTATTGGTAAGCCTAAAACCATCAAAATGACATACTTTGGTTTAAATCAACGCCTTGCATTTTCGTATTATTCCAGTGGCCAGGTTAAGCAATGGGGGAGAACCATTTACTTAAACTAAGGCTGCCCTGTTTCTATTTCTATTTCTTTTTTTTATTTTAAATAACACAGTTCCATAGTTTTAGAATTCTGCTGATCCCAAGTATTCCATCCTTTTTTTGCTGGTCTGTTATCTTCCTCCTTTCGTCCTTGCCTCCAAAAAAGACAAAAAGAAAGACAAACACCATCCCCACCCAAAGGAAAATATAATAGAAAAACTAATCCAGTATGGAATGCATATCACAAAGTACATAGTGATAAATAGCATAGACAGGATACAAACTGTTGAAATAACATGGTATTTGTGTATTTACCTTGGCTCGAGTAACTGCAGCACAATCGACTGTCATCTATATAAGTTGCTTGAAGACCCATCATCCATGATCCCACTGATGTATCCTCATGAGCATAAGCCTTTAAAGATACACTGCAGCGAAGGCAGCATAAAACAATATTAAAGCTCCGCAACATCCATACTTAATATGAAGACTGAAGAATCCCAACTCTTTTCGGTTTATCATGATAGGACTCGAGCTTTGATAAAAAAATGACTTTAATTATGATCTTGCACCCAAAACAATGCCATACAATTTTAAAGATGGTCATAAAATCATTGTTACAGTAATATTCATCATATGTCTGCCAAGAATGACCCATAAGCATTACTAACATTCAAGTACCTGGCAGTCTGAAAACTTGGATACTAGCTAGAAGGATTTAACTTAAAGATCTTTTGCCAATCAAAACTGTGGTTCCAACTTAAGCTTAGATAACTAACCTGTTTATGTCAATATACCGAGCCAAATTCTTTGACAGTATAAAAATAGAACCAGCTGCATGACGAAAGTACCTGAAAAAAATATTGGTGTCACTTAATAAGTTAATATACTAATTCATACAAAATTAGGATTGATGATACCCCCAAAGATTGGTTCCGCCTTCCAACCAGCCCCATAAAAAAAAGAAGAAAAAAATGAATAACTTTGAACATACACTCATCTTAAAATGAACCCGCTAGGTGCCTATGACTTCAACTGGAACACGTTAGGTGCCAATAACTTGAGGAATGTGTGTGTGCGCTTTCAAAACAAATCCTCAACCATGAAAAGAACTTTAAAAGCAACCCATATCTATTTTACACAAATGTAAATTCTGATCTGTAAATATCCCATACTTCTTATATTGGTTTACTTACGTTTTCTGATCACCAAATTTCCACCATTCAGGCTCATACCACAGTTTTCCCCTGAAATTTAAACAATATTTAGATATTTAAGATGATGACTGATAAGTGAAAGAGACTAACTTGTATCGTGAGTATTTCAAATGTAATATACAGAACTTCAAGTTGTTTAGATAGTATATGGAATAGATCACAAGTAATGCAGACACAACAACGCAAGCACATATAATACTGCATGATAATAATAGTTCAGTGGTAGTTCCTTAACAAAACCAAATTCTTTTACATGTACATAATAAATACAACAGAAGGCCTCAAAGCACTGAGAAGGAAGTGGCCAAGACTAAACCACAACCCCACTATCAAAAGGACTGACCAAATATATATAGGAACATAATATAAGTTATTACATTTTTCATCACAGTAACAGCATACATATACTACTACTAGATATAGAGAGGAGATTATATGATGACATGGTACCAAGTTCACCACGCAGGATTTCAAGATGGCTGCTAAGATGATATAAAGGTTTTCGTTAACCAAAAACAATTCACACAATTTTAAGATGGCTACCACTGGACCCAAAAAAAAAAAAAAAGGGGATGTCTCAAGGGAAGAAGGCCAGGAGGGAGTCATGTGGAGACCAATAAAAGCAAAAAAATTAACAATAACAATTACATTCCCGCATTAATTGTAGACAAGGGGAAAAACAATTGCTGACTTGTTCAGGTGCCACTGGTAGTCTAACCAGCTCTAACTACGGAAAAATAGACAATGCAAAGCAAAACTGAGTCAAAGCAAAATTATTTGTATTACTCTTCAGAAACTACTTCTCCAGACTTCATGCATCCAATATAAGCACCATCTTGACCACGTCGACTCTTGATAAGTTCAATCAACACATCTGCCAAGAGAATGGAGCATATATGAGTATATGCTATCAAGCTGTAATGTTCCCACATTAATGTGAAATTTAGAACCAGTCACAAGGATAAATACTTTCAGATGCAGGGAAGATACACAAAAAGCAGACATGTTTTAAAAAAAAATATATAAAATGTCAGCATTTACCAAAGTTAAGATCAATATTGTCATCAACTTTTATATAGAACTCCGCATCCCAAGTCTGGATTGCTGTGCTAAAGAAGAATTTTGCTTTCTTGGGCAATTCTTCTTGAGCCTCCTCATGACCATCCTAATAAAATCATAATGCAGTTTTTCAGATTTTATAATTTTCATGGCAAGTAAATGTTTGTTTTTTTTTTCCTAATAATTGAAGGAAAACCAATACTAAAGAAGAGCAGCAAGAAATAAATGACAAGAAAACCTTTTACTAGATACAAAGAGTTTAAAACACATATTAGACAACACAAATTTATGAATCAATTTTAGGCAAACAAGGATTAATAACTTACAAGAATCAAAAAATCCTTTCTCACGCGATTTTCCTCATCAATATTGTGGTCCAAGCTGTCACCGCGGTTAGGACTGCAAAATTCAAGCAACCGATTAATGTTTCATTAAGTTAAGTTGACAAATTTGGTAATTCCTCATCAGACATTGATAGTGCAGACGAGAAAAGGACAAGGAAAAAGTGTATAAAGTGGTCTTAATTAGGAAGCACAGTTTCTAAGTGGAAGGGATAACCTTCGACCAATCACAAATCGTACAATGATCCCTCTTTCTTCGAGCTTCTGTAAAGTAACACCTGAAAGCACGACGTTCACGTTCATTAATAATAAATTCAAGTTTACAATCTTCTAACCACAATCACATCTAAAGATATTATTACCATTTGAAATTGTTCCCTTTAATGCTGGCATGGTTAAACGTACATGTGAAATAGACTTTAATGACAACAAAAGTGGAGAAAATAAGAATGGTTCAAAGAAGAATAAAATGCAACAAGAATCAGTTCCATCTACAGAAAAATTGAAATTTCACAGTTATAACAGGTCTTTGTCTTTGTAAAGTGTTGGAACTGAAAGTTGGACCATGTGCAATTTTATCAAAGAATAAATACAATATTATAAGGTGTAAGGACACTCACTAATAATCAATGCAGTATCAGCTTAAAAACACTAAAATCAATCTAAGGATCAAATGCAGAAATCAGGAATTATACTGACCTTTTGATGTCATAGACCCTCTGAAAGTATTACGCCGCAACCGACTCCCAAAACCACTGTAAACTCCAATAACAGCAAGCAGTTTTTTACCAGAAGAGGAACCACTCTGCTGCACTTGGCTCTTAAGGTAACCTTGACTCTTTGCCAGTGTTAATTCCATTTCAGCTTCAACAATTCTCCTTTTCAAATCCCTAAAAGTACACAGTAAAAAACTTAAGTGCATCTTAAATAGTAAAAACTTACCCATTACAAAAGCATATTATCTAATAATCATGTAATGTAAATTGGAGATATTGAGAAATATACTTGCATCCTAGGACCATTAGTTTGTCATCCACAGTAAGCACCTGGGGCCGCTGCCAATAAGAGAGCAGAGATAATAGTTTATTAATATTTACTTATTCGTGTGTGTTTTATGTGTGGGTTTGGATGGGGGTTGTCCTTCCCAAACTCATGTTCCGCTCATAACTAAATGATTTAGTAATAAAAAGTGAAACTCAAGTTCAGCATCCAACATTTTGGGCAACCAAATTCACAATATAAATAGTAAGACTGGAAAAGTCAATTGAAAATAATTTCTCAGCATTTGAAAGATCAAAAACTCCTTTTTTTTTTTTTTTTCTCATTCCAAACATCTAGGCACATCAAAATGAATCTTAATTGTTCGTTCACCTTCGTCTAGGACCAATTCCTTTGCCCAAACACTAGTTAGCATGACCTTTATTAAATTCCTTCATTTGGCATTGCTTTAGTCTCCTTTTCACATAGCACAAGTGCTAAATCCGTCTTAATCATAAATTGGATCTGCAGTATGTGCTATGTAATGCACTTCATAAAAGATTTCCTTTTAGATCTATAGTTTATTTCCCTCTCACCTCATATTCATCTTCATTCTGTTTTGTATCACGAAACCAACATCTCATAATGCCTAAAAAATAGTACTCGAAAATCCACTATTTTCTAATATGCGACGGAGGTGGGCATTCCTATTAGCCTCATTTAGCATCTTATATCACACAATTAAAGTGTTAATTAGAAAGTCAACCAGGCTCATTCGGTCATTCACCAATTTATACGCTAAAACAACTCTTATTTGCCGTCAGCATTATTGTTTCCCTTGTGGAAAATTTTCAACAGAAACAGTGTTTTCAATTTCTTTCCTCAGATACATTTCCCCCTTTTTTTCGTTTCTGTTTACCCTGTGCATCCCCACATTTTCTCAGAAAGCCCAAATAGAAACAAAAGAAAAAGAAGGAAAGTTAAAGCAACAGGGAATTCAAACCTGCAAGGAATTCTTCTTCAGTAAATTAGACAGTAGCATTCTGTTCTCTGCATCTTGCCACAACCTAATAGAAGATACAAAGAACCAGATCACGAAAAAAAAAATCAAAATCTCACTAATCAAGTTCCATCAATTCACTAACAAATATATATAACAAAAACATGCCCCTCAAAAAAACCAAGTACCGTCCGGTAACGTAGAGCCACGCGAGGCAAGAGAGAAAGGCCATAACGAGAGAGGTTTTCGAGGTGGTCTGAGAATTCTTTGATTTCGATCGCCTCTCCGATTTCGACGACGACGTCGCTGTCAATGGTAAGCTGCTCTCCATTGTTTTGCTTATTGATTGATCTACGATCGAAAAATTGCGTAGAAAGAGAGAAAGAAAACATTAAAATACAGCCGCGATGATTGTTTAAGAATTAGCTAATTGAGGAAGAACGATTAATATAACAGTCCAAAATGGAATCGAATTTGATTCATCGAAGTTGATTTGAAGAATTCTTGACTTTGGCAGAGAGTCCATATTCAGTAGCGCTGTTTGTCAATATAATTTCATATTTCGTCACAGAAGTTGTGGTGAAATTTCAAGTACATCCTTGAAATTATTTTTTACCAAATTGGTAATTGACAAACCATTGACCCTAGGTTTATGCTATATGTACAGAAGAGGGATTCTGTGGGATTCCCCCAGATTAGACACGTGAGATAAATCTCATGTAATTAAAATATTGCCAAAAATACCTTAGCCACCCCAATTATTGTATTTGGTGGGGTTTTGTGTGAACCCTATGTGTATCATTTCTTATTGACCTTCTGTTAGAGAGAATTGAAGTTAAATTGAACAATTAATTCTAACCAGACATCGCAATTACTTTCAACGCTCATTTTGTGAAACTCATGGCTCCATTTTAACAAAATAAACTTTTTAGCTCTCCAAAATAAGTATTAAGTTGCAAAGTTAAACAGATAGTTTCATGATTGCACGAAAAACGTGGCTATTGTTAACAATTGATGGTATTAAATAGACCTTCAATTTTCTTGGTGTCATGTTTCATACTATCATTTCTATTCTAGACTTAGCCAATAAAGAAGTTTTTTTTTTTTTTTTTTTTTTAGAATGTGATTAGAAAAATTTTGAATTCATGTACAAAACATTTTATTGTGAAATTACATTGTGAAAATAAGTTTGAGAGAAAAGAGTTTTGTAAAAATGATCGACAAACAGGGCTTAGTATAATAATGCCTCTTCTGATCCTGATGACTTTTTTTAACATTTGTTCGAGTCCCATTTTGGAGCTAAAATGCATTTTGGAATAGTATTTTATTGGAGAATATGTAATTGAAAAATATGGAAAAAATTTGGGTTTATATATAAAATTATTTTATGGGAGAATGTGTGGTTAAAAATGAATTTAAAAAAAAAAAAAAGAGTTTTGGAAAAATGGAAGCCAAACTTAGGCTAAATTAACTTACACATCAAACTTACACATTATACTTACCAACAAAGTGATCATATTGAAATCGTATGTCAAAGTTAGTGATTGATTTGGCAAAATAATGTCTTCAAGGATCAATTTGAAAATTTGGCACAAATTTAATGAACACGTGGAATGAAATGAACTCTTTATCTATCCATTGGATTGTGATTAGTTCGAGGAATTGTTGAACTTCCCAGCCCATTATTGAAAGGATCATGCTAGTTGTACAATTGAGATTGATAACCTCGATTGGCAATTACTCATATTGGATGGAACTCACAATAAATAAAAAAATCGTGGACCCCCTACTTGTGAGAGGTTGTCAGCAAAATTCTTATTCAAGTATTCTGGTGGGAAAATTGCTTTATCGGTCCTCAGTATATTGCCTCATTAGCATACTGGTCTGAGATCTTAAAAAGGAAACAAGTTGGTTATTCTCTTTTATCGTAGTTGCAGAATCGAATTCCTATAACAGGAACTGTGTAAACTGTCACGTAATCCTCATTAACGAAAAAAAGGACTACTATAATTTAAATGTTTCTAAACTTGATTATTGTTACAACAAGGAAGTGCATATATTAAGGAACTTTTTTCTGAATTTTAATTGTAGGAAAATATAAGCAATGTACTCATTAAAAATTGGGAGAGAGTGAATTTACTACATAAGAAGATAGTGAATTTACTCAACAGTTAGCTATGAGACAATGCGATACTAGTTCCATTAAAGAGTACATTATAACCATTGAGACCCGACTGTCAAATTAAGAACTTTAGCCGGAGATTGAGGGCACAAAAGGGACGGATCCAGGAAAATTTTTAGGACGGGATTATTATTATTATTATTATTATTATTATTATTATTATTATTATTATTTTAAACTATGAATTGGGTTGGGGGATGGGCTGTAGTCCCCTCTCCGTCCTTGATAACGAAGTCTGGTGATTAATTCCAAACGGGATTTAAGGCGTCATTCAATGCCTAAGAATGATAGAAAAAGAATTTTAAATTCACCAAAGAAATAAGCCTTTTTTTTTTTTTTTTTTGGGATACTGACATAATTGTATCTTCTTCTTTACGGAAGGGGAAGCACAGTGGGAAGAGGGTTGGATCTATAAAATTTTTCTTCCATCATATTCTCTACCTTTCCCTTGCCTTGACCCGACTTTTCCTCAACATAGTTTTGATACCCAGTAACTTGACAGTATATGGACAATTTTTAACTTCTTCTTCTTCTTCTATAATACTGTCAACTATTGTCGAGTCCACGGTCCACCTTACTAGACTAGCCATTAATTTTCCAAGTCATGTGAGCTATGATTTAAATTATCAAAACCTTTCCTGAGTCCTGTTCTTCTGCTCCGATTTCTTCATTGTTATTTCAACAAAAGGATCTGATTTTCCAATGAGACAGCTACCTTTAAAAGTATTATCATTTCATTTTCTCTTCAAATCATAAATGTGAAAAAACGATAGATTTTTCTTCAACACGATAAACATTAATGACTTATTATTCTAAAATAATTTATGCTTAATAAAATATAAAACAATTAAATTGAATGTTAACTTTTTTTGGCAAAACGAATTCAATATTTAAATGTAATAATACCGAGTCCGTCTAACCACAAGTCGTGAGCTGGAATCATCATGCCTTCATCATCTGAAAATGGGGATGGATAAAGTGGAATAAGCTAATACTTAGTAAGCAAACCTCATGCATACGATGCATTCTTATGATATGTATATTAATTATTTGAAAATAAAAAACATTTCTCAATATATATCTCAATTTCTTCAATTTCTTTAAAATTTAACATTAACATCGTGTGCTTACTTGGTGTATCATCTAATCAATCGAAATGCAGTAAATAATTATTATTTGGAACCCGATTTGTTCTACTTGTAGTATCGCAAAGTGATTAACATTAACATTTCATTAAACATTGAATATTGGTCGAGTTCACCAATCCCTCGCGCCCCATTTTCTATTCACACATTTCATGGTATAAACATATATCTCGCAATAAAAATATTCGAGATACATATCTTTTTGAAACAGTCACTTTTTTATTTCTTGAAATTTCATGTATACCTATGAATGCATTGACATATATGAAATTCTCACGAGAGGTATTTTTGACATAAAAAGTAATAATAAAAAATCAGGTTCAAGTAAGGACAACTTAAATAACACGTTTATACATTTAACAATATGACGTACGCATGAAAATAAGTAGAGGTTTATTTACCTTAGATCCTTAATAATTCATTTATTCTTTTGACTAGCAAATGAAGATGTCATTAGCTGTCGAGCCAACACGCCACGAGTCTTATATCATTGCCATTTATTTAGGAACTCGAGCATACTCTCTCTCTCTCTCTCTCTCTATATATATATATATATATATATATATATATATATATATAAAAGAACTTTAAAATGACCAACAATGTTACGTTAATCACGTCTATGAAATAGAAATAAAATTAAGATGCACCAAAAAGGAAATATATTCCTTTAAATTTCTAAACAAATTATGCTTTGAATTAGTGTAAGTTCGGGTCGACAAATAAAAAAGTTATGTAAATGAAGAGTGCAGTGAATCATCAAATAACAAAATAGAACTCATAATAACAGAGGCATTTTCGATCCAATAAAGTTTAACTAATTAAGCTTCATCGGTTTTCTTTAATCTAATTACCAACTATATCCTCTAAAAGTTAATTATTTAGGTAACTTCTTTACTCCGAGTTACGATTTATTAATTATAAATGGACTACTAATTTGAGTAGCACTGACTTAAAACAACCCCACTACTGAATCTTTTATTCTGGTCAAGAACTTAAAATGATTAAATTCTATGAATTAAATCACTAAAGGAGTTTTAACATAAAAATAATTGAAACAATGAAAAAAAAGAAAAAGAAAAAAGAAAAAAAGAAAAAAAGACATCTTATGCTATAATCCCGCTATATGTCTAAACATATAATAGATAAAATTTTCGTCTTGTTTAAATTGATCTAAAGAAGAATATGAAATGCTAAAATAAATATATTCATATGATCAGGAACATATAAGCATCAAGACCAATATCCATTTTATATAAACGACTCATGATATTTATATGTCTATTGACAATATTATTCTGAAAAGTATATTTAATAAACAATTAAAAGAAACTAACCTCATTATTTATCGAGGAATGAGTAAATATTAAATACGTGTATGTATACTTTTCTCCTTGCACCGTTCATGTTCCTTAAAGCTAATTTCGATTTGGTGTTGGAAAGATGGTTAGAACAACTTTCTTAGAGAAAGAGGGTTTGAATGATTTATGATTAAAAGAGATAATGAATGATTTTCATCTTTTAAAGAATACAACTAAAAATTATTTTCAAATTTGTAAACGGATTTGAAATTTAACTTTTTACTTAATGTATTACTATTACTTGTTATTCATTTTGTTAGTGGTCTTGGTGTTACGTGCATTTCTCATTAGTGGATTTGCAGTTTAATCAGTGGTGTTACTTGATAAGTTAGTGCACTTGTGGGTAATTAGTCAATGTGAGTGGAGGCACGACCGGATAGTGTTCCATTTCTTTGCCAACATGATGCTGCAACTTGATGTCAATTCATTTTTGTTAAGCAATTTTTAGATTCATACACTTTGCTTTCTATCTTATTCCTTCTATATTTCCCTTATATTATTTTCTACTTTCATTAATCTCTTAATTAAGTTTCTGCCTTTCATTCTTGTAAAGATAATATATGCAATGCGACTACAAAAACAATTGCCAAGAAAAACTTATTATCGATAATGATTTTTTATAGAATGAAAAAAACTTTCAAATTCAATAATTTATGTAAAAAAGCATGATTGATTCAATTAAATGGACTATGAAATCATTAGAAGTGGTTATATTACAATCACCTCATGTTAAACTGATGTTTTATCTACAAATTTTGTAGGACTCTTAACCACTACTAACTTATTATTTGTCCGTTTTCAAGTGTTCGCTTCTTATAATTTTCTTATATTCACTTTCTAAAAATGCACTTATTGAATTTATCATACAATGCCACAAAGACTGCCACCTAGAAGGCTA